TGTTCCACCGTCTATGGTTATCGTGCACATCTACGGTTTTTGGACTCGATATACGACATTTCTGCCACGTGAGTCGATAGAAAATAAACGATTGACTAATATTCAGTTTGTATTAAAATGGATTTAAGGTGTTTTATGAACAGTTTCTTTAATCCCTAATATAAGCGGCCCTGCATGGCCATGGTGGTTAGGGTGACTCGCAATCTGAGGGTCGCGGGCTCGAATCCCTCGTCCCACCACACATGCTCACCCTTTCAACCGTAGGGGCGTTATAATGCGTTTCTGTCAATCCCACTATTCGTTGGTAAAAGAGTAGCCCAAGAGTTGGCGGTGGCTGGTGGTGACTATCTGCCTTCCATCTAGTCTTACACTGCTAAATTAGGGACGGCTAGCGCAGATAGCCCTCGTGTAGCTTTTCGCGAAATTCAAACTAAACAAACGCTAATGTCTCGAAGATGATGTTGACATAATAACAAGATAATTAAGGATAAAATTAACCCTTCTATAGTCAAACACCTTACAGTAGACAAGATTCTATTTTAATTTATGATATTCTTATAATCAGTTTATTGCTGAAACTATCTGATAAAAATGGATATTTCTTATGTATGTATTGTTTGGTTACTAAATAAATGAAAAATGTTAAAAATATTTTCATGGCGATTATATTTATATCTTACTTGAAGCGTTTATTTTCTTTTACGTAGGTGGCAGTGTTAAAATAAGTTTTTATGTGCTATATCAACTGCAGTTTTCTGTGAGTTTATTCATACTGAAGTAATGTTAAATACATTTACGAAGTACGTACATCTTCAGAATTGTTTGCCAAGTTTTATTTTAAGGATCTGAGTAATCGTGTGCTCTTGGTTCGTTGTAAACTCTAACTACCACTTACAACGCCCACAGATTATCAAGGGCCTGCAGTACAACCAATCAGTAGACTGGTGGTCTTTTGGTGTATTGCTGTATGAAATGTTAATAGGACAATCGCCCTTCAACGGAACCGACGAGGACGAACTTTTCTGGTCTGTGTGTAACGAAGAAGCCTACTACCCGAGGTTCCTCAGCAAGGAAGCAAAACAAATAATAACACTGGTAGAGACTTTTAGTTTTTATTCTCAGAGATAACATGATCTGGTGTTTAGGGATCTCAACTCGCACTCTGCGAATAGCGAGGTCGAATCCCGTTACCGAATATTTCTCACCCTTTCAGCTATGTGTTTATGTGGGGGGGGGGGGGGTATAATGTTACTGTCAATCCCACTTTCTATTGGTAAAAGAGTAGCTCAAGAATTGCTGGTGGTTGATGTTGACTGGCTGTTTTCCCTTTAGTGAATTACTTCTAAGTTAGGAACGGCTAGCGCAGATAGCCCTCTAGTAGCTTTGCGCGAAATTAGAAAAACAAACAAACTTTCTCAGACCTCTTATTTGTTCAGGATTTTCTTTGTTCTTAATAATAAATATAATCCTGATCATTTGATTTTCTGCAAATTAAAACGCATATTGTTTCTCTTGCTGGAGCTTAAAACACGTTTATATTACGTGTAAATAGCACAATAGAAATACATTCAACATAGTCAGGCTAGCTTACATTGTCTATTTTAACAAAGATCTGATTTTTCACGTTTCTATACTCCTGCGGTGAAAAAATATCATTAACCCCAATGAAACAATTTTTAAGCCAAATGCGCAAAAACTTTTGAAATCAATCCCATCATGCTTTGCAAAAGTAAATCACGAGATTAACAAAATGCCATAATTTCTGATATTAAAGATTAGAAATACGCATTGTTTTATGCCAACATAATTCAGCATAATCTTCCATGAAGAACTAGTAACTTTCAAAGTAAAAAACCAGGGACAGTGTATTCAGAGGAGGGCAAAGGGGACATTTGCCCCCTAGCGGTCAATAAGAGTCACCCAGATTTTAGTCCAAATCACAAAAGACATGCAAGTCGTTATCCAGTGTAAAACATTGGACAATGCAGCTGTATATTCCCGCCTGTGCCTGCTAAGTTATTTATGATAATTAAAATATTAACGCTTCATCCATGGGCCCTAACCCCCACCCCCAACAATGAGATTTATATTCTCACTCTCGGATATTTCGCCCGGTATGGCTTGGTGGTTAGGGCGCTCGACTCGCAATCTGAGGGTTCCAGGTTCGAATCCCCCGTCAGCGTACGTGCTCGCCCTTTAAGATGTGGGAACGTTATAATATGACGGTCAATCCCACTACCAGTAGCCCAAGAGTTGGCGGTGGGTGGTGTTGACTAGATGCCTTCCCTCTAGTCTTTTACTGCTATATTAGGGACGGCTAGCACAAGTAGCCCTCGAGTAGCTTTGCCCGAAATCCAAATAAAACCAAACTCGGATATTTCTTAACTGGTGCGTGGTAACAAAAAAGTTTAGGCTTTGAAACCAATTCATATTAAAATATCGTAAGTTTCAGTTTAAATTATTTAATTTAGTTATTTTTAATACATACATTTAAGCCTAAATGTTATTTTATTTGTTCAAATATTTTTGTTTCTAATTTGAAGATAAAAAAATCAATATCCAGTAAAAAAGACGTTTGTCATATAACGCTGAAACTGAGAAACATCAATGTTTATGTGGTAGTAATCACAGAATTTTTTTAATTATTGAAGGAATAATTATTCCGAATAATTTTCTGTTTTCAAAGCTATTTGCTGAAAAATGTTTCCAGTCGTATAATATTTCATCATAGTTACTACCCTAATATATGAATATTGTTTTTGTTTCTTTAAACTTTCCCTTGATTTATTGTTATAGCAATTATAGCAGAGATTTTTGCTTACCAGTACTGATATGAAAAAAATACATTTTCCTTCTAATTAGTTGCTAGAAAAGGACCCTAATAAGCGATTAGGAATGCCTAAATGCTCAGCTGGGAGTATCACGTACCAGCCGTTTTTCAACTCTGTTGACTGGGAGAGGACTGAACGTAAACTCGTGGCGCCACCTTTCAAGCCGAATGTGGTTTGTATAGTTGTAAATATAACACAACACACACGAAAGCAATAAGAGTGAAGGATAGTTATTCTAAAAAATGACATTATGTCTCTAGTTTGGTTTCTTCTTCATTGTTACTTATGATTGTTTCAAATATATCGGAATATGTATTACCAAAACATGAGTTTTTTTTTAACTTTAAGTAATCAAAACAATTGCCTAACTAATGTGTTACTAATAGAAATAAATAATATATGATAAGCAGTATTAAAATTACCCTAATACTTCAGTAAGAAATGTTATATTTACTCGCCTTTTCGCTTTATACGTTTGTTGGAAGTGCTCTATACAAATTCTCAAGTTTCTTGATAATTTGTAAAGAGCACTATCGAAAAGCTGTAAATCGAAACGTTGAGTAAATATAATCTTTTTTTCCTCCTGTTTATTAGTCAAAAGAATGTTATCTAAATAATCTTTACATTAAAGAATGTTATCTAAATAATCTTTACATTAAAGAATGTTATCTAAATAATCTCTACATTAAAGAATGTTATTTTAACAATCTTATCTAAATAATCTCTACATTAAAGAATGTTATTTTAACAATCTTATCTAAATAATCTACATTAAATAATGTTACTTGAACAATATTGTATAAGTCATCTCTACATTAAATAATGTTACTTGAACAATATTGTATAAATCATCTCTACATTAAAGAATGCTATTTTAATAATATTGTATAAATCATTTCTACATTAAAGAATGTTATTTTAACTCTTAGGAACCTAAGAAACTGAATTTACCTTGTCTAACACGTTAAAGATAGTGTTACGTCTCCGTTTGTTAATTGATTTTCCGTAACTTCGTTCCGACGAAACTTTAGCGACACAAATCCTTACTTAATAAAACTGGTTTATTCTTTCCGAATACAACTTTACGATACACTTATTTTCAACAATCGCTCTATAACAAACGCTATATCAACGAACGTCAGCAATACTTCTGACTGCAGTTCAATTACTCACATTACATTACCGTCACGTTGTCACCCTCTTTTATATACCAGGCTACCCTATATCTAGTAAATGCTAGAGCATTCGCCAAAGTACAGGATAGTTCTAGAAAGTAGAGGGCGTGAGAATAGTCACGTAATCTCGATGACGCAACAATAGTATAGTTTAGGAATTTCATTGATTTCTTGCTTTGTATACATTACCATCTATTTGTTTTCTTTCTTATAGTCAGGACCAAGTGACGCTAGCAATTTCGATAGTAATTTTACTATGGAGAAAGCAGTCTTGACTCCGATAGATTCCCAGTTTCTTGCTTCTATGGATCAACAACAGTTTAAGGGATTCAGCTACACCAACCCCGACATGACGGATTAGCCGTTTTTTTCTATAGCCACGAAATATAGGAAAAGAAAAATAACGTTTTTCGTTCGTTTTTTTTTTTTTTTCCGGCAACGTACCAAGTACTACCTAATTTTTGTATAGTTTTTATAAAAAGAAAATCGACATTATGATATCATTAAATACAGTTGTTAGAACGTTGCTGTATTCACAAGTTCTCTTCATGATATTTTATTTTAGAATTTTGACGATTCTCGAAAAAAAGTTATTAACAGGGACAGAACAAAAAGAAATATTTAAGAATTATATATTTTTATTTAGTGGCCTTATAAACGCTCTGCCTTCCGAATTAAAAACAAACTGTTTTAACTTGTTTTGTCGGCAGTTTATTTAGCTTATCCATCGCGAGTTAAATGACTTAAACGGGAAGTAATAAAGTTGGTAATTTTTATTTTGTCAAGTCAACGAAAGAGAAAATTCTTAAAAAATAAGGTTGGTTTTAACTTGTTACGACGAGGCGATGACAGCTGCAATTATCACATAAGTTTGATTTTATTTTGGTTTTGTTTCTTTCTACAAACATATGCTTTGTCTGAATATGTAATTGCGGGTTTTAGAGTAACTGATACTACTGCCGAACACAACGGTCTGTTTTAATTGAAATTACCTGCTCTTTAAAGCACCGGTTTCGCAGCTTTCACTACTTTTCACCGTATTTCTTTTTGGCCTTGTACAGCGCATCAATGTAAAGGCGAAAAGAAGTAAAGTGAAAAAAGTAGAGCTGAAGAGTAGTGAAAGCTACGAAACCGGTGCTTTAAAGAGCAGGTAATTTTAATTTAATAGTTGTAAAAGTTAAAGAATAAAACTAATTGTTTTATGAAATATAATATCGAAAGGAAACGAAATGTGATATTATTATTAATATGTATAATAAATGCATATGACAAAAAGTGCAACTAATGTTTTCTGGCGGTTTAATTTTGTTTTATTTTATTCGTTTGTTTATGTGGTAGCACTTTTAATACTGATTTTTATCATGGAAATGTTAACCCTAGAACTAAGGACAACCAGTAGTAACCACTAGTAGTATTTCCTTACCAATGTTATGATTACTTATTGATTGATTTGGTTTTGGTCATTCTTGTTTGAATTGTCTTGAAACGTGTTATTTTAAGAGAAATGAATACTTCATCACTGAAGAAAAATGTATGTTGTATAGATTTTTTAAAGGTATTTCAGATTAGCATATAGACACATTTCTCATATTTTTTATAGCTTGAAATTTTGATTCTTTAGGCTAGGGGGTGGTATGTATGCCCCTTACAACAGAGAGTTTTTTCCCGCTTTAAAAAACAAGCAAACCTTTTTTATGGAACGTATAATATCGATCATCTTATCTTGAAGCTTTTGAAACTTTTTAAATTCAAGTCTAGTCCCAGTAATTTGTATTAATGTTTTTGTACATAATAGTAATTTTTAGTTATTTAATTGTTTTTGTTTCCTTGTTTATCTTCTACTATTGTTGGAAAACGTTATCTCCAAAAACCAATAGTTTAATGTAAAATATGAATTTAAGCATTTTATCTGTTTCATCTCTTTGACATTTAGATTAGATTATCTGGATTTAAGTTTAAGTTGAAATACTACAAAATGATCTTATACGGTATGTAAATTATTACCATTGAATTGAAACATATAATCTCAATATTTTAAAGTTTTTTTTTCTTCTTAATTACTAAAAAAGAAAAAAAAGAAAGATAAAGGTTCCTTGGAAAGCTGGAGAGTTTATAATCTGGAGTTCGATTCCAAAACACGCATTGTGCAGCTTTGAACAAAAAATAATTTTCAGTTTTCCGATATAAACAGATATAGTATGTTGAAATCATTTTAAAAAGGAAATAGATAAAAAAAAACAAAAAAACTTGGAAATCTGTTTTTATCTAATATACCTCTTTTTTCTAACTTTATAGTGATGTCGTTGTGGTTTTTATTCTAATACTGCTCGTTTAATTCGAGACAAGTGATCATGAATTAGGATTAGTAATGACGATAATACAACAACAACTGGTTAAGAGTACAGTACTTCTTAAATTCATTATAATGTTATTTTTCTACAGCGTCTGTCTCGTGCCAATAACATTCTAATTCATCATTTCTATAATTGAATAATACTTGTATGACGTTTTGCATTCAAGTTCATTTCGCGTGTGCCGTTTTAATTTTATCTTGCAGTTTATTTGATTTAGATAATTTATGTAAATCAAATTTGACATAGTTTACTTCACCGGTACTTAGGTAACAAAATAGAGAGAGAAAACTTTTATAAAATAACTTTTAGAAGTGTTTCTAAAATAAGGAAACGTTCCCCCCCCCCTACCATTTTGTAACACCACGTCACGCACTAAATATGTATACATTATTGTTAGTATGTATAAAAGAAAGATACCCGTTGTTGTTGTTTTTTGTACAATTTAACTGCTTGCTAATTTTACTTGTATACATTTCTATACCTGAAGCACATTCATTTTTAAAGACATCATTTTATAGAGATACGTACATTTTAATATAGGATTGAATCATAATCTATCGTGGTTCTTTTTGTAACGGTACAAAAACTCTATTAACTGCTATCATGAATGTTTTCTCTATTTCAGTTATGATGTTTTTGTAATAAAGACTAGTGAAATGTTCATATGAATTCGTTTTGTTTATCTTTGTAAATGTTGCGTACATTTCCATAGTACTTCATACTTTCTTGCTTGTGTAAACTAGTCTTCAGTCGATTTAATAAAAAGCTATAAATAGTTAGGTCTTAGTTCTTCTTATTCTTTTCAGTTTATAAATACGTCATTTAAATATAATTTTCAAAAAAAGATACATGATTTTTTTCAATTATTCTATGTCCTTAAATGGCACATATGTAAGTCTGCGGACTTATAACGCTAGAAACCTGATTTCGATACCCGTGATGAGCACAACAGAGATAGCCCATTATGTAGCTTTGCGCTTAATTATAAACAAAAATTGTTCAAAGTGAAAAAACGCATTCTCATAAAGGGCATCTTCAACCCTATTTTCGTCCACTGAAATATTTTTATCTTGTTTTGTTTTTTTTGGCCATATGGTTAGGGTGCTCGACTCGCAATCTGAGGGTCGCAGGTTCGAATTCATGTCCCATCAAACATGCTCGTCCTTTCAGCCGTGGGGGCATTATAATGTGACGGTCAATCCCACTATTCGTTGGTAAAAGAGTAGCCCAAGAGTTGGCGGTGGGTGGTGATGACTAACTGACTTCCCTCTAGTCTTACACTGTTAAATTAGGGACGGCTTTGCGCGAAATTCAAAACAAACAATCAAACAAATCTTTTTTTTTTGTAAGGTTTGTACAAAGCTACACGAGGGATGTCTGCGTAAACCCTCCCTACATTTGAACTGGTAAGGTAAAGGGTAGCCAGCTTTTGTTTGGTTAAGCACAAAGCTACACAATAGGCTATTTTTGCTCTGCCGAATTTTAGCGTTATAAGCACTAGAATTTGTTTCTGAGCTAATGTAGGGCGTTAAGATAGCTAGTAAACACCACTCGTCGCCAATTGTTAGACTACTCTCGTTAAGCTGAATATTAAAACTTGAACGTTATTATTAAAACACAACAACGGCCCCTAAAGGTGAAGCGCATTTTAAACTTTTTTTTGTAAAGCTGTAATGGGACTCGAACCTCATCTAAATAGTCATGCTCGTTAAGTATTGCGCTGCTCTTGGCCTCAATTAAAATATAACAATCTGTATCATTGGCATCCAAGTCTTTTCAATTATTACTGATGAATAAGGTGGTTACTCTTTTTTTTTTTGGTATTTAATTTACTTGTATCCATAACATTAGATACTGACAAATCTAGTCATTAGCTTTCATTACAATTTTAACATGATTCTTCCATTCTCCAGTTATATATTTGTTTGTTTTTAATTATGCACAAAGCTACACAAACCGACTATATTTATTATATTCGCATAAACATATTCACATACTTTTTACAAGTTTTAGATAACAAGTTTAAAGGAAAAAACCCATTGAGAAGTTTTTCTTTTATGTAACTTTGCTCTTTTTAAAGGGAAAATAGACGATCATTAATTTAAGACATTGTACGGTTAGAAATAATTTATCAAATAATGGCTGGAGACGGCTCGAAACGTTGTACATTTGCTGTCATGTTAAACTTATATTAAAGTTTTTCTTCATTACCCATTTAACAAGGATTTGTCATCATCAGGTGTTTACTTCACGATCTATTTGTTTTAGAGCGACATTGAGATATCTAGAGTGTTTACTTTGCAATATGTTTGTTTTAGAGCCACAATGAGATATCTACTGTGTCTACTTTAAACTATATTTGTTTTAGAGCCAAATTGAGATATCTACTGTGTATATTTTACGATATATTTGTTTTAGAGCCACATTGAGATATCTACTAAGTCTACTTCACGACCTATTTGTTTTAGAGCAAAATTGAGATATCTGCTGTGTCTACTTTACGATCTCTGTGTTTAGAGCCACATTGAGATATCTACAGTGTCTACTTTGTGAATTATGTATTTTAGAGCCACCTTCAGATATCTACTGTGTATATTTTACGATATATTTGTTTTAGAGCCACATTGAGATATGTACTAAGTCTACTTCACGATCTCTTTGTTTTAGAGCGAAATTGAGATATCTACTCAGTCTACTTTTGATCTATTTGTTTTAGAGCCACATTGAGATATATTCTGTGTCTACTTTACGATCTATTTGTTTTAGAGCAACATTGAAATATCTACTGTGTCTACTTTACAATCAATTTTTATAGAGCGACATTGAGATGTCTACAGTGTCTACTTTACAATATATTTTTAGAGCCACATATATATATATATATATCTACTGTGTCTACTTTTAGATCTAATTGTTTTAGAGCCACATTGAGATATCTACTGAGTATACTTTTAGATCTAATTGTTTTAGAGCCACATTGAGATATCTACTGAGTATACTTTACGATCTATTTGTTTTACAGCCACATTGAGATATCTGCTGTTTGTTATTTACGATCTATTTCTTTTAGAACCACAATGAGATATCTACCGTGTGTACTTTACGTTATATTTCTTTCAGGGCCTTATTGAAATATCTGCTGTGTCTTCTTTACGATCTGTTTGTTTAGCAACATTGAGATATCTACTGTGTCTACTTTAAGATCTATTTGTTTTACATCCACATTGAGATATCTAGTGTGTATATTTTACGATATATTTGTTTTACAGCCACATTGAGATGTCTACTGTGTCTAATTTGTGAATAATTTGTTTTAGAGCCACATTGAGATATCTACTAAGTCTACTTCACGATCTATTTGTTTTAGAGTGAAATTGAGATATCTGTGGTGTTTACTTTACGATCTATGTGTTTTAGAGCCACATTGAGATATCTACAGTGTCTACTTTGTGAATTATTTGTTTTAGAGCCTTCTTGCATGTATACTTTGTCTACTTTACGATCTATTTGTTTTAGAGAGACATTGATATATCTACAGTGCCTTCTTTACAATATATTTAGTTTAGAGCCACATTGAGATATCTACTGTGTATATTTAAGATGTACTTGTTTTAGAGCCACATTGAGATATCTACTAAGTCTACTTCACGATCTATTTGTTTTAGAGCGAAATTGAGATATCTGCTGTGTCTACTTTACGAAATATGTGTTTTAGAGACACATTGAGATATCTACAGTGTCTACATTGTGAATTACTTGTTTTAGACCCACCTTCAGATATCAACTGTGTACATTTTACGATATATTTGTTTTAGAGCCACATTGAGATATCTACTGAGTCTACTTCACGATCTATTTGTTTTAGAGCGAAATTGAGGTATCTGCTGTGTCTACTTTATGATCTATGTGTTTTAGAGCCACATTGAGATATCTACAGTGTCTACTTTGTGAATTATTTGTTTTATGCCACCTTCAGATGTCTACTGTGTCGACTTTACGATCTATTTGATTTAGAGCGACATTGATATATCTACAGTGCCTTCTTTACAATATATTTACTTTAGAGCCACATTGAGATATCTACTGTCTATACTTTACGATATATTGGTTTTAGAGCCGCATTGAGATATCTTCTGTATCTACTTTACGATCTATTTGTTTTAGTGCTACATTGAGATATCTGTTGTGTCTACTTTACAATCTATTTGTTTTAAAGCCAATTTGATATATCTACTGTGTCTACTTTAAAATATATTTGTTTTAGACCCACATTGAGATATCTACTGTGTATATTTTACGATATATTTGTTTTAGAGCCACGTTGAGATAGCTACTAAGTCTACTTCACGACCTATTACTTTGGACCGAGATTGAGATATCTACTGTGTCTACTTTTTGATCTATTTGTTTTACAGCCACTTTGAGATATCTACTGTGTCTACTTTACGATTTATTTGTTTTAGAGCCACATTGAAATATCTGCTGTGTCTACTTTACAATATATTTGTTTTACACATTAAGATATCTACTGTGTCTACTTTGTGAATAATCTGTTTTAGAGCCACATTGAGATACCTTCTGTGTCTACTCTACGATCTGTTTGTTTTAGAGCGACATTGAGATATTTACAGTGTCGACTTTACAATATATTTTTAGAGTTACATTGAGATATCTACTGTGTCTATTTTATTATATATTTGTTTTAGAGCCACTTTGAGATATCTACTGGGTATACTTTACGATCTATTTGTTTTAGAGCCACATTGAGATATCTACAGTGTCTACTTTGTGAATTATTTGTTTTAGAACCACAATGAGATATCTACCGTGTGTACTTTACGTTATATTTGTTTCAGTGCCTTATTGACATATCTGCTGTGTCTACTTTACGATCTATTTTTTTAGCCACATTGAGATATATACTGTGTCTACTTTAAGATATATTTGTTTTAGAGCCACATTTAGAATCTACTGTGTATACTTTACGATATGTTTGTTTTAGAGCCACATTCAGATACCTTCTGTGTCTACTCTACGATCTATTTGTTTTAGAGCGACATTGAGATATCTACAGTGTCGACTTTACAATATATTTTTAGAGCCACATTGAGAT